TATTATGATTATTAAATGATATAAGGTTTAATTCCGACTTCTTTTCGAGATCACTGATGACATCGGATTTAAAATCATCATCAATCTATGTCTCTATTATACTTGCAATTCTACCATGGTCAATGTTGTCTTGAAGACCATCGAAAGGCAAAGCTGTGGGATCGCTCAAAGCTACAAAATGTGCAATGTGGGCACGCTTAAAATCTGGACGATTGTTCCTTGCATACTTTTGTGCGGACCATTGACGAACGTTGTGCGATTACAATCGTGATTGGTGTAAATGGAGAAATGGCTGAACAATATATATGACCTCGCGTTTTCACATATAAACTTGATTGTTAGGTATATTTCTACATTATTGCTACACATATAAGCCTATCGTTCTATCTTTATTTTCTTCAATTTAGAAATGATGTTTTCGGTGATTTTTAAACGACACAAAATGACACAAGTAAAGTAACACATATTGACACGCTCACGTATACAGGTAAACATAGCCACTTTGTACCTGTACATAGACCGTATATTTCTCCACCCAGGGCACTAACGTAACGCGCCAAGGTGTAAAAATCCAGGTGAAGGGGAGCTATAGACCAAAACGAATGCAAATAACTAACATTTAACGTCCAGTTGTGTTTTCATAACGGTCATACAGTAACATATATCGGCTCTCTTTGTCAGGCCCAGGCCAGGTCAAACTCCGATCAATCATCAAACTATTATTTTCCTGTTCTGTTACCTGGGAGCTATGAAAATTCAGGTCAAATTCGGGTTAAATCACATCCTCAGAATGACAACTCGGGTAGTCGCAACGAAACCACTAGGTACGCTACAGAAAATACGTTCATTACAGCAAAATGTCATAGAGGTGTCAGGAAACTTATGTAATGTTTCTCTTATTGTCCATGTTACGTGGTACAACTGTTAGGTAATGTGTAGGGTGAGAATTATCTCAAAATACAGAAAGTTTTAGACATAATAGAGTGGTCGAAGAGGTCCGATTTGTTTTAATTATCAGCTGTCTACACTTCAATCTTGAATTTAACATAAATGTATACAATATATATTCAATGGTTTGGAAGTGTAAGTTGTAGCCATGATAAATAAACACTATAGAAATGGTTGAATCGGGCTGTATATAACAGATAAAATGGTGCAAAAATCCGCAGAATCTACAATTTGAGTTTTTACAACCTGAAGGCAAGAAGTATCGCTGCACTATTAAACTTAAAGGTTTGCTTGCCTTTGTAACTGTCTTATTTCTAGGAGCTTTACGATATAACGTGTCTGCTGGTTTACTCCACATCAGCTTTCAGTGGCTGATATATTGCCAAGACTCTGACAAAGAGTAGTGACAAGGGATTACTTGACAAATAAAGGAACAGCTAAATCCTGTTTGTACGCATTTGTTGGAGTAATATAATCCCAACGGATACAGCTTCGTTGACGTTCTTTATTGCATCGTGTAAACAATTCAAATGTTTTAACGTAGCTGTAGGAAGGATGGGATGGATGCTTGGAACGAAATGTATTAATATGAACCACAAAATCAAAAGAAACTGTTTATTTGATAAAGTATTAGCGAGAAAATACTAGGAAACTTGATAGTGTATAATTTCACAAATAAAAAAGCCATTAATTTAGCTTCCGGAACATATTCCTGCATGTTCGTGGAAATATTCGACTTGTATTCCACTGAATGTAAATATGTGGTGACTTCGTTTTGGTTTTATTTTGTTGAACGTCCTATTAACAGTTAATGTCATTTAAGGAAGTTCCTGAATGTGTTTTGTGTAAGTGTTCATGTGTGTATGTGTGCCGGAGACCGGGTATGTTGGTGTATTTGCCTCCTTGTGATATTGTGACTTTATAGTGCTATCTCACTGAAATATCGTGTCGATGGTTCCCAGCACAGCATCCCGCTCCGTAACATTAAATTGACAGCGGATGAACCAGTTGTTGCCATTATCCTAAATGCTGAACGTTAAATAGGGAATACAACTACCAGTTTTAATGACTTTGGTTGTCCCGACCTGGGGACAGAATCCATTGTATTTCTCGCCTGTGCGAACGCTAAAGCCTGAAATGAGGTATTACCAAGCTAGGCACTAGGAAATAAAAGGTAGATAGAAGTAGAAAGAAAGATAAAGTTCCAAAATATTGCAATAGGTATAGCAGATGTATGTTGATCGTTTTTGTCTCCCCAAGTAGAGGGCATAAAAGCAAATCCCCAATTCTGCAGGGGGGTTCCCCACTTTAGTAGTTGCCTCTTACTATACATCTTTTCTCGATCCCCGACGTGCAGGGTCGATGTGGTAACTTTTGTGGCTTAATACTACATCGCATATGTGTACGTTAATCATTCGAATCGCAGTTTACTCGAATTAAATGTAATATGGATTGTTAATGGCATCAAGAACAAAGTATTGCGGTGACAGTGTTTTAATCCCTAAGCGTTTATATGCGTTAATCTCATTAACAGCGTTTGGGATCTTTGCGCTGAACAGGATCATTCTGTACTGCAAAAGTGTCTATTTTTGTGTTCTGCAAACCATTTTGTTTTTTTGGTGGTTTCACCCTTACCATTCGTATCAAAATGACCAAACAAACCAAACTAACAAAGCGCATATTTGCAGCAGTTTGTATTTGCATATTCATATGTTTTATATGCAAAGCTCTTTATCTTCTTTTTAAAAAAGACGAAGTTTATTAACATACTCTGTATTATGCTGTGGCAGCCCTTTTTAGCATTATCGCGTGTTGTCAAATTGGTTGTTAAAAAAGGCGACGGAGATTTCAAATGACATTACACATTGAGCACATTCTATCAATGTTAAATAGCCATGACTAACCATCAAAGTTTCCGTGACACTTTCTGTTAGTGTTTAAAAGATTGATGTTTCGTTCCGTTTTAAAAGCTTGTCTAAAAAGCTGATATTTCGAAGAACATTACTGACATACACTTTTAATCAACATAAAACAACCCAGTTGCATTTTATTATACTTAAGTTAATTCAATGTTGTTGTCAATCTTTGTTTATGATCTTTACTATTTTAAAGCTCTACTGTGAATCTATGTAACTCTGGTCTGTTTTCCCAATCCAATTAAAAACTCCTTAGTTGGTTTGGTGATATTTCAAATACTCTGAGCCGCGACAATTGTTACTAATGCAATCCATAACATATGATCTGTCGAAAGCTGTAGTTTACAGAAAAGTTAAAATCGCTGATTTCAGCAGTGTAATGCTGATTTTGTACAGAATGAGTTTTACCTACAGCATGCATGATATGTATTGCCCGATAAGAGAAACAGACAATTGAAACTACAGGTCTTAAACACTAGGCTCGGTTATATTTGATGCAATTGTTTCATTTTGAAATAACGTGTTGTTAATTTAATCGTTGAGGAAAGGAAACATGTTATCTGGTACGTAACGATCGTTCTGAACTTTTGCATTGCCAACTAGAACTCCGTTGGAACGCGGTAGAACGACATGGAGCTCCGTAGAAACGCCAAGGTCGCTGTGAAAACGCCGTGGCATCGCCATCTTCATGAAAAAATATCACGGCGCTCTGTGGAATTCAACAACGCCGTGCAATCGTAGTGGTAACGCGGCTAGGTGTGACAGGGGTTTTACCAAATTGTAAAGCTTCAACATTACAGTATCAAAGGATCTAACAAATTTTAAAAGTCTTCTATACGCTAAAATTTTGTGTCCGCAAAAATATTCACTTCATGTAGTATATAGTTAATAAAATCGTTAGTCAAAATGAAGTACAATTATCAAACCAGAAAAAATATTTTCGATAATTTGAGAAGAGCATATGAGATTTGCATATGCTAAAACATTTGTCTTAAATTACATCATTGTATAAATTGTTGCAGGAAAACCTCAATGTGTATGTAAAACTTGAGCAAGTTACTTGATTGCAGACTAACCACACTTTTGTCGTAAGTTTGATTCGAGCATGGGCCATTTTATCGTGTAGAATTTGTCGTACCAGAAATGAGGCATAAAGTATCTAGCTAACACGTTTTATCGTTCCTAGATAGGTTGCATCGCTGAGCTAAGTCTACTTTCTGGGCAGATCCAAGACACTCTTACATTTAATCCACTATCGGGAAGCCTTATAGCAGACCCTGTGACTTAGTTTTCAGGAAATAGAATTAAATCAAGTACTTTGCCACGCCCTCACCAGACACCAAGACATGCTCTTAAGCAGATCTCTTTTCTTCAAAGTATGTTAAGCTTGCATGGAAAATCGTAAAACATTCGATGTCTTCCCAGGGAAAAAAACTAACAAATAATAAGGTGATAACACAACCAGGGTAACACATCTTCTTACTTACTGGTTAGATGCATTATTTTGACAAATCATCAACTCATATAAGATATCGTACATTAAGTACACAATATAAAGTCTTTGAATTTTATTTAACTTGATATCAACCTTTGATACCCCGTTGCCTGCCATTTCTTAAAAGTTGTTCACTACAGCTTAGAATGTTGGCGACCTTCTTACTGACTGTACATGTACTATGCTTCAATTGATTGGAGCATTTTTTTATCGGCGCAACATGAGGTGCCAGAAACGCTTACACTTCCGGAGCGCTTGTGGAATTAGATGATGTCTTTTCTATTACTTTTGGTGTCCCACAGATCTTGTTGTCTTTTCGTATCAACTTTTAGTATGTCCTTGAGTGTAAACTCTGTTGTACGTTTATTGTTCTTTTCATTTTCACTTTTGACATAGTGTTTTTTTCAGCTTTTGTGCATCCAGAGAAGGTGTTTTTTGCCGTAGTTCGTAGTTCACACCTTTGAAGTCATACCAACCTACAGCCAAGCCCTTTAATAAAATGTGTTACTACCTCTTTTTCGTTTGTGAGCATCTGGAGAAGATGGTTTTTGCCTCAGTTTGTATGAGTAATATTCACTCCAATGACGTCGTACAAGCCTTCAGAGAAGCCCTTAAATGAAATTGTTTTCTTCCTCTTTCAGTTTGTGAGCATCTAGAGAAGATGGTTTTTGCCTTAGTTTGTATGAGTAATATTCACTCCTATGAAGTCATACAAGCCTACAGTCAAGCCTTAGAAGTGCCTGTTATTGTGCCTTCCTCGCCTAAATCCTATAACACGGATCGATTTAACTACGAAATTAAGATGAACCCTTCCATCGTTCCTGCAATGGCCGAATACATTCGTAATGGAGGTTGGACAAAAGTTTTCTACCTCTTCAACTCGGATGATGGTAAGTGTTCAAGTCATAAGGAAATCATTTTGGTTGTATTTATTTGTTTGTTTTACGTCCTTTTAATAGTTAATGTAATTTAAAGAGAAATCATCTGGGTTCGTTCTAAGCTAAATCTTGGGTTTTTAGGCTAAAGCTCTTTTTGCTTTGTCATTTCTTGGAAGGAACATTTAACAAGATATTCGCAGAGCAGCATAAAGTGTTTAATAAAATTAACGTCGTTATGAAAGTTTGCGTCTTTAGCATCATAGTTGGGTTCATGTATTTTAAATCAGTGATACAATTATCATATATAATGTTTATATAAATTAATTTAATTATAATCTCATAGACCGTTTGTCACTATGAATAAGTCGAGATTATCGGAGCCTTTACTTTCAATGTCGCGGGAGTGTAGTGTTAAGAGCTGCAAATATATGGTAGACGAAATTTTCGTGTAGCAGTTTCTCCGTTTGAGGTTTGGATAAGGCAAAAGCCATGAAATTGTCCTCCTGTGTCAGCTGTGTTTTAATGTTGTGCATCTTATTGATAAACACAATGTTTCATATACACATGTGTATGCTGATCCGAAGGTTTAATATATTAATATTTTATAGAAATTGCGCTGTGTCAGATATAAATGAATTGAAAGATATATAGAGGTTACACACGGAGTGGTTATTGAATATGGTATTTATTTCACTCGAGTAAGTTAACTTTTGAAAATTAACTAAGGAGAGTGAAATATATACCATACTCAAAAACCACGAGTCGTGTGATCTGTTTTTACCACAATCTCATGATCAGTCGAAAATAACATACACACATGTGTTTGTTGACAAGGCTGGCGTAGTGATATGACCCATATGTAAAAAGTCACTCATTAGTATTCAAAAACAACTACTTTTATACAAATTTAATAATTGTTAAAATAAATGATTCGGCAACAACTTCATGAAAAAATATAATCATATCGTACGAAGTCTGCCTCCCGCCAAGTGACGAAGACGAACTTATCAATGTCCAAAACCATAAGTTTAGGCTTACGTTTCTTCTTGACGGTTCTATGGTTGATGTTTATAGTGAAAGTTCCGCCATAGTCAGGCCGTCCAAATAGTGATAACGGGGCGTTGGGAGAACGAAATATTTTCCGACACTGTGACAGATCTTGTTTTGGTTTCACAACCTGGACACGCGCCGGTGTGACGTCGAAACGATATCGAGCGTCTGTAGCAATTTTGCCTGAAACAAGCGATCAAATCTAAAAGTATCATCTTCTTTTAATATTGCCTTAATAACCTCTTTTCCGAATAACCTCACAAAGTCACCAACATTTGTCGGATGTTGATAGCAGACGACGTAAACAAAACAGCATGTGGCAAAAAGCGCGCGGAAAATGTCGTCCCGGTCAAAGTTCATCTTCTCGACCAATCAAAACTATTGAAGGTCATATACCACGTGTGGTATATAACTCATATTTATCTAACAATCTGGGTGTTTATACAATGATCTGAGAGTGGAATAACACAGCGTATTGTGGTAGAAATAATTATATACAACTGCAACAAGATATTAATAACGAAATCAGTACCGCTGACATATTAAGTTGCTAAAATAGATAACAACCTTATTAAGCAGTAGAAATAACCACATCGGGGGAGAAATTACAACAAAAATCCTATAACTACACGATACGTTGCAGCCTTATCACTGAAGTGATTAATCAGTTATGGTGTTGATTTGCATTGTCAAATCCAACCACACTTGCATGATTAAATTCTCAAAAGAATAATCACCGAGTTGTTTTATGATTCGTGTAAATTATTTGCATGTGTTTGTATCAAATGTATATTAACCTATTAAACAAATAAAACAAAGATAAAAAGTGTTTTGGATTTTGACATCTTTCGGATAATGGTATGACAAGAAAAAAAGGTTCTAAAAAGGACAATTCGCGAAAATTGTGATACACAACAAAACGTCAAGCTGTAAATTCTTTTTATAAAAGTATAAATACGAAATGCGTAAAAAAACACTCTTTATTCGTTTTATCTGATTTGATATAAACGTCGAAGTATCAAGTTCAGTTTATTCTGAAAAATAAAACAAACTGACAACGCGAACAAAACGCAACCTAAACTGTTTTTGTGTGTCTGTATATGCATTTATAGGAAACCTAGTAGTGAATAATAACCGCTCCCAATGTGCTTTTGAAATTATATCCTATACTATAGACAAGCATGTGACTTGCTATCTAATTCATTTTCTTTTAAAACTTCCCAACAAATGTACAGACTATAGTATGTATAGTTTTTTCTTTATCTTCATGAAATTTGTGTACCCCTTTTGCTTGAAGAGACACTCCCTACCTTCGCAACTGTATCCCACACTAACCTCTCCTATCCATCGCAATCCTACCCACAGCGTCTCCTGTAAATTCTAACTTGACAGCCGCCGTGCTAAACAGTGACAGTCGAGGATCAACTTCACACGAAATAGCACGAATGTCTCGACATTCTCCGACTGAAAAAAAAGACGGCAATGTATCTTCTTATATCGATGTGTGGAGAATAATGACATCAGCGCAAGAAAAGTGCAATGTCAATTGCTACACAACTCCCAAGATTGCATTTCTACGTCACATATTTTTTTATCTACTTATATGTAATTGCATGCCCCTTTTGTAGTATGGTGCCAATTTTCCTGCATGAACAATTATACAGCAAGAACCTTATATATTTTCAATCCCATGCGACATTAATGCAAATTAAAATAAAATTATCATGGTATGTGCACTTTCAGAAGTATGTTTAAACCAAAAAAAAACCTACCTGATTGCCTGCCTGTCATATTTAAAATGACGTTACTTGTGTGTATTTTCTTACGCCTTTACATTTATCTTAATCAAATATGTTATGCATAACACATAGTACGTGTTGAAAAAGCATTAATTAAAAATAATACTTCCATTTTTTACTCAACGATAGCTAGCCTGAGATTTTAAAATTATGTTGTAAAAGTAATTCATTGATATCGCATATTTCAACTTCTTCAGGTTTCTTCTATTCTTGTGGGGGTAATTTCATTTCAGACGTTATTCCGAAGCAGAGTCTGACCCGTCTCTTTCAAATCTAGATAAAAACCGGAACTTTAACAACAATATTTTTCAGATTATTGACCTTCGTACAGATTTTAGTTTTCTGCCAACTGATCTTGATTTGGATTCCCAGCCATGTCGGAATAAATGGAAATGAAAAAATAAATAGAGCTGCTTAGACAGCACTTGACCTCAATACGAAAGACATTAAACTGCCTTATTCTGATTGTAAACCTTCAAAAGCGAATGTTATTAAAACGAACTGGCAAACATAATGGTCTGAAGAAACAAACAATAAGTTATTTGCAGTTCAACCTCATGTTGGTTCACGTGTAAAAGGTAGAGCAGACCGCAGAGAGGAAGTTGTCCTCTCGCAACTACGCATAGGCCATGCACATATCTACATTGTACACAAGGAAGACCAACCTTATTTTCATGCATGTGATCAACCATTTACAGTCAAACACTTTATGATTGAATGCGCTGACTTTAAACAAATACGTGACAGATTTTGTACCCTCTATGTAACGTTTATTTGATGCAGTTTCTGTGCAATCAATCTGCTTAGTTACATTCAATTAATCTCTACAATAAGATAGAATATATTTCATAATTATTTTTACACATTTACACATTTTAACCTTTTCTTTCTGGGTTTCTTGTATTCATTTTTTGTGAATGACTATTTTTACATTGATGTTTGGCCCTCAATGACTCAAATTGTCAATGGGCCGTTAAACAATACAAGAATAATAATAATTATGACAATTCATGTGAAATGTTACGTGTTTGCATCCTTTTAAGTAAGGTACAGAAAACCAGCTCCTGTATCAAGCTAGAGTTTTTAACATGAAAATGTCTATACCCCAGCACGTTGATATTGCGGCTTGTGTACTAGCTTCATACATGACTACTGTACAACAACGGTAAATTGAATGAGACATTACATAAGGGGATAAAATAAACATAAAATTCTGGGATAAACACTGTTTTATACATATCGAAATAAATGAAACTATTAAATACTGTGCAATAAATCATTAATTTTCAAGTGTTTTATTTTTGTTGGATTCAATGGTCAACGAAGTATACACAGCCTAACACAAAGCAATGTGTCGTATGGGTGAAAAGTCCTTATCTAAAAATTAATGTACCTACGAAATGGTCTTTCAAGGCAAACCACAAAATTGAGGCCCCACGAAAATTTCCGATCTTACAGCATGAGAAAAAAAGTGAGGAATCGATACTTATTTTCAAAAAAGATGAAAAATCAAAATTACGTTTAGGTAATATCAGGTACACATATTACCTGTAATAATACAGAATATTATCTGTTCAATAATTTATATTATTGAGAATACATACATTTTGGTCGACTTCAAAGCCTTTTGTTAATTTGACAACTTAATAACTTGATGTATTGAATAACTCTAATCGCCTAGATTGATTTTAAGATGGTCTGGGATTATGAACGTATTATTTTTGCTTTAAGATTCAGTTGGATTGTAACGATTTCCAAAATTATCTTTCACTGGTGGTGTTAATGGAAAGTCAGAAGTGTTAATATAAGAAAAAAAGCTACAGCTGTATATGCTTCATTGTCTAAAACTAGCAGGAACCCGTACTTTAGCCATTTTATACTTATTTTACAGATATGTGGCGATTACAGCAGTTATACGAGTTATTTAATCAACATGGAAAAAATATAACTATAATGGCGAGACAGATAGACGATCCCGGGACTGCACACGACATACTACACCGAATAGACAAACTGGGTGTGCCATGTAGGGAAAAGATATTTGTCCTGGATTTCGATCGAAAACGACTACCTGCATTCCTAAAAAAAGTATGTATTCTTTTGTATACAAACTTTGTTATTATCATAATTTCCTCTGTGTCTTCTATTCAGAAGTTCTATCAAAATGTATGGGTTGCCCAGTGGTAACATTTCGAATAGTTTTCTTTTACTACCTTTCCTGTTTACTTTATTTGTCATCTGCTTTTTCTTTTCATCGGCATCTCCCTAAACCGTCCCCATATGACCCTGGCTGTTGCAAGAACGTTAATCCCCAAACCAACAAACATTTATCATTTATATGTTTACACTGTATGTGATTATGGTTCACCAATTCAAAATGTTTAGGTATTGAAAGAGTGCTGTAATCGAGCTTGATGTAGTTTACGTGTCAATGACAGTTAGAACATGTAAAGGAATTATCAACGTCATTCGACACTCCCGATGTCAACTGGTGAACTATTTTATTCTAACATGAACATCTAAACAATCAGAGTATGTGCGTGAATGAATTACACTTTTTTTTTCAAAGATCAAATGTGAAGTTATAGAGATCCTATACAGGTCTGACTATTTGTAATGTTGCCTTGTGTACCTTGAGGCGGTTTCTCGACGTACCTCGCCTTCTGCTTTCATGGTATTTTTTATAATATAATGTATGCTTTTACACTCTTTCCAACTTTGCCATCAGGAAAATAATTTTTCTCGGAAAATAATTAATTATTAATGTTGTTTCTATTAATCTAACAACTGAATACGTTGTATCAAACTAAATTACTGTGAAATATCCATATTTTTAAAATAGCATTTTACTAAAAGGTTTTTCTCATATTAGTCTGATGGCAAAGCTATATAATGAGATATTGATGTCATTAAAATAACGATTTACAATACCATTATAATTCCATTACCTCCCATTATTTATTATAAGCACGGATAGATGAATGATTATCCGAATCAAACGGCGACAATGCTTTGTTTTCATAGTTTGATTGAACAGTATCCAATATCACAAAAGTAAATGTAAATAATATTTGACAAAATGTACCATTGTTAATAAAAAATGTCATTTTGCTTTGCGGTTGCAATTATTTTTCATATAAAAATATATATATGAAAACGAGGCTAAACTGACTAGACAGGGAAAGTCGGACAAAACCAACACGTGACAACCGGGGCAGCCAAAAACGTGATCGAGCATCACGAAATCGTCTAGTGAAGGATATTATCAACGTAAATTGCAATTCTGATAATGGTTGGGAAATGATTTGCATTATTGTGGACGTATTCTGATAGACAAGCTGCTTTCCACTATTATAATGAATATATCTGAAATTTAATCATGGTAGAGACACGGCTATGAATCACTGTCAATATGTTGCAGGTGGTATTATAAAAATAGCACCTGATATCAAGCTTAAAACTTGCATTTTAGGCACTAGTCATGTATGAAATAAAAAAAAACGGCTTCTTCGTTTTTGTGACTGCTAAAACCTGAATATTGTGCTAAAAATACGGTTTTGTGGGATGAATATGGCGTCAAATTAGGATTAAAACGGTGCAACTTTCAGCAACATTGTAAAAAACAACATCAGTACTTTCACGCCGTCTTTTTGCATTGTTGAGATAACTGTTTTCACAAAATGTCAACGATTTATGCCAGAATTGAATTTAGTTACGTATGAACTATCTAACAATTAAGTGCATGTTTATGTTTTATAAATGAATATAGAAAAAAATCAACAGATCGACAACTTTGCAATTTTAAATGCCGTTGATATCAAACCCTCTCGGAAAACTATCAAGAATACAGCGAAATACATCTATTTAGACATTAGTTTCGGGTTCAAAACACTTTCTGTATCATATATACGTGTTCTAGGTGATTTAAAGAAAACACAGTTCCTGTAATCATCTATAAAGAAAAGTCTATATTCTCAATCAGTGACAAATGTATATATCTGATTGTTTTGTAGTTAACAGAAGTTGGAATGAATAGAGACGGCTACAACTATATAATTACGGGTTTGGTGAGTCATGTCTATATTCTATTTGCAACGTTCCCTATTTATAAGCACAACACTCTTTTATTCGACTTCTGCTTAGTACATCCCTCCTGAAAATTAATGGTATTTATGGTTAGATCGAATCTTCAAGGCTGAAGATAATTAATAGAAATCCAATAATGAGTTTCATAATTTCCCAAGCATAAATGGAAACTTGCTGATTATATTTTGTCTCGATCGAAATACACATTTTTTCCCAATGTTTTGCCTATATAGAATTAAACAAGAATATATTTCGATGATGACCGAATAAAAAGTACAATTTTTTTCCAGTTTTATTTGTGATTGTTTACGGCTTTAGAAACTAACTGCGACCAAACAATAGATAAGGTCACAAATTTTACATTAAAAAATTAAATATATATATATAGATACCATCAGCAAGTTGTAAACTATCATATGCAGCTGTAAAAATAGAATGAAATCAATTATATATTAATTGCAGAGAAAACGAATCAATCAAATTTGTACAGCATACAGTTTGTCTCGCTTTTCTTTTAAATGGGCGAATACAGCTATAAAATGCTCCACGGTTAACTGCTGTTTATCAAAAATAACTATATGATCACAGGAAGTTGTATATCAATCTAAATCATATCACATCTATAGGTACTCTTTAATTGCAATGTATTGTACCTGTTGGTGTTCAAATGAATGCTTTCATTTAAATGCTAACTTAAATTATGATAATCAAACTTTACTCCCTAGATTATAAAAAGAAATCCCAGAAGATACAACAGTTATAAAAACAATAGTTAAATACAATGATAGCAATTTGCATGGAATTCAAATAATTCTAATTTATTTTCTTTATTATGTTAGGATACAAAAGACATTGACTTGAGACTATTTTACCACAGTGGAGCAACCTTTACGGGATTTCAGCTTTTAAACACCGAGAACGAGTATTTACAACGCTTTCTAGGCAAATGGAATATCCCTAGTCGTCATGAAAACATGTCAATTCCAGATTTCACAGTAGGTACCAAAGAATATACCTTATGCATATAAATAAGGTTATTGTTTTTGTCGTTTTAAGGTGAATATAAATTCACGACCCTAAGCTGTAAAGTTGTGAGTAATGTATGTGATTATGTAATAGTTCAATTTAAAACAAAGCATAAATCTGTCGATGTTTCATTGTATTCTGTAAATAATGTTTTTTGCTTGTGTTTATTTTCGCGACAGCTACTTCTTTTATTGAGCAAGCGTAAACACCTTGAAATGTTTGAAATTGCGATATTCTCTAATCACGATTCAGTATTCTTCTTGATATATCTACTTTTCGTTCTACTGTTTATTATTCGAAATATCCAAATATGAGAATACATGTCAAAAGTTATAATAATTATATTAGATTTTCGATGTCTCTGCGAACATCGTAAAAAAACTGTTGATTTCCTTTGGAAAAAACTGTCGATTTCGTTGTGAACTCTTGATAACCACCTCGGGTTGAACGATTAATTTGCCATTCATTAAGGATTTTCCTAAGGATTGCAACGGGACATAATCAACCTGTGATTGAAGGTGCCGATTGTCTGAAATTCAGTTAATGCATATGGCGAGGATCAGAAAAACAAAACATCAAGCTAGAAGGATATGCACGATTTGATGCATAAAATATAATCAGTGAAGCTAAAGGCTGAAAAATGAAGTCGAGAAATTGTGATAGATCCTCATAAATATCTAAACAAGTAAATTATGACATAATACTCTTTAGAAATTTTAGAAAACGAGGAAAGAGTGAAATTGAATCACACGAAATCATGTATTTCAATCTTTTTCCAGGATTATTTTCATATAAAATATATAGGATTTTTCATGATTTCAGACGGATTTGGCATTGATGGTTGATGGTATCGCCAGTTTAGCCACAGCTCTGAATGTTATCCTGGTGAGAGAACAGAATGCAGGGCGCTTGAAAGTTTTCCAAAGACGACGACACGAGTTTTTCAATACAAACGAATCACAAGGAATATTGTGTTCTCCAAAGGTTTTATTTGCTAATGGACATGAAGTCCTCAAAGCTTTGAAAAACGTAAGCAACACATAAAGTCATCAAAAAGACAACCTCAATAATTCAAATTAGAGAGGTTTTATTAAACTGTTCAAATTATATTTTATGTTAATTAATGAGAACATTGCAAAAAACAGATTTGAACGAGATGTAAACATCTGGCTTTCCCAGACAGCTTGGTTTCATTTCTCGAATTCGTCCAAGCAAGGATTCTTAGATATAATTTTTTCTTCTGTTCACACACCTCTATGTTAAGTATAAAATTGTCTAGGCCTGGGTGCTACAGTGTATTTGCTGTGTCGTCGGAGGCAAGGTAACAATGCAAAACAAAACACTAATTCCTATCTAGTTGAAACGCAGATACATGTATACGGTAAGCACAGCATAACGAAACTCTGTAGAAACTCTCTTAAGATTGTAATCTTGATCCCATTGAGAAATGGCAACTTCTTTGTGTTGTATAAAAGTCGATGAATTCATTATGCTCACCTCTCCGGTTTACCCTTTGATAACGTGACCTTGCTTTCACTTGACCAAAACTATTACGGTGTCATCAATGACGCTTACCCTCCTGGAACATTTTTTCAAGGGTCCTCATGTTCCTATTAAAGTTCGAGTTGCGGTTTTGGGGAAACTTCGGTTTTTTATAGTATTATATATATTGGGTATATAAATTCTATAACTATGAGTAATCCATATTTATATTGCTTTATTATTTTAATTCGCCGTTTCTCTTACCAATAGCATAGTTCTTTTTTGTAAAAGGGACGTTAAGCATATATGATAATAAAACAAGCCGAAGGTCCCAAAAGACATTGTACGAATGGGATTTTATCAGATGTAGAAATAAGATTCAAAATTGTTTCTCCCAAAAAATCCATGCGAAAACGTAAATAAATCACATTAATAAAAGTTGTAATTTAATTTCCAATATCGAAATTATCAATTCAATTTGGAAGTTATAATTAATTGTTTCTCTTGAACTGCTCGCAGATTGAATTTTCGGGAATTACTGGACATGTTCAGTTTAACGAAGATGGAGAGAGAGTGAATTACACGTTACAAGTATACCAAAGCAGCTACAAACAGAGCCCCAAAAAGGTACGGCAAACTTATAACAACTATGTAAACCAACGTCAACTTTGATGTCAGTCTTGCCTTAACTGCCTTTGTTCGTAAAATTAAATTGAACATAAACCGATAACGCTTATTTGTGAGTTAATAATTTTTATTACTCAATTTTTGTCATTTTTCGATGCTTTTACCATCGATAAATCCTAAAGATGAACACAAGCCACACATAGGTGATTACAAGTATAAAAATGTAGCTGTTTTGTCCTTCTAAATCTCATTGGTAATCGAATCGAGTGGCCAAAGCTGCAATTCAAAATTGTTCGTTATGAATTTTTTGGCAAATGGGTAGGTGCGTGTATTTATTGTCAAATTTTAAAAATGCAATCACAGTGTTTTACTTGCGATCATCTTATGTATATCTGGCATTAGCATATTTTTCACGATTTTAAATTTTAATGATATCGCTACAACAATTTCACTGCTATAAAAACTTAATATCTCATTCATTGTTATAAATGGTATTCTAATATTGAAAAGTTTACAGGCTAGTTAACGTCCGCTTATCATTTCTTTCTTTTATAGATTGGTCACTGGTCATCAGAAGAAGGTTTACATTTGACAACGAAACCCCCACCTAAACCTATCAGCGAATCTCGAGTGAAAATCATAAGTACAGTTTTGGTAAGGGGATTTCAAACTTTGCTCCTGACAGAACAACTATGTATCTTTTACATATAGTTGTTTTATGAATAACATGTGCTCAACATCTATTTTACATTTGCTATTAGGAAAGACCTACCCTATTGATCGCTTTAATACTCTCTAGTCGCTGTTGAACATTTAATGAACACGTGTTGTGATTTGAAACATATTTGTGATAGTGATTTCAGTGCAACAAACATGAAAGAACGGGTTGAACAAGTCTCCGTGACAACCGTTATTCAGTGTATACAATTAATAGGCCTTTACAAGAGAATACAGCGTTCACACTACTTGTACAATACCGATATTAACATTTTGCCAATATAAACCTGGTAGTTGCCTTTGATTTGTTTAGCGACGTTTGAGTTTTTATTTGATGCTTTAGGCCGAAAATGACATTCCTGTGTCGAAGCAAAAAAAGCCAACACAAATCCTTTCTAGTCGACTGTGAGTTCCGAGCGTTTTCCTTATCTGATGACCCTGTGATATGTGTATTATATTACAGTTATGGGATTGCACAACGGTACACGATGTGCGATGTGCGTACGGTGTGTGCAAGATGTATGCACGATGTGCGAACGATTAAAATCTGGACGATAACTGCTTGCGCACATTTGTGCGGACGATAGACGAACGTTTTGCGAAGACAATCGTGGTTGGTGTAAATTGAGAAATGGCTCAACAATTCATACGCCATCGTGTTTAAACATATACACTTGATATTTAAGTATATTTCTTTAGTATAGCTACATATAACAGCTGATTTTTCTACATTTGTCTTTATTTTCTTAAATTTAGAAATGGTGATTTCGATTTCGGTGTTTTCTTAACGACCCAAATCGACACGTGTAAAATAACACATATCGACACGTATGTAACTCGCCAAGGTGTGAAAATCCAGGTGAAGGGGAGTTTAAGACAAAAACGAATGCAAATAACAAATGCTTAAAGCCCGGTTGTGTTTTCATAACGTCATACGGTATCACATATCAGCTGTCTCTGTCAGGCACAGGTAAACCACCGGTCAATCATCAAAATGTTATTTACCTATTCTATTACCTGGGAGCTAAACCCATTATTGACAGTCTAACAGTTACTGTAATGCTGCGTAACAGGCATTGTGAAACTTAACAAATTCCTAATTAGTTTGATGAGAAATTTATATACAGTGTTCCTTATTCCAAAAGAGGGTTTCGGATATTTTTCGTTCCGTAATATTGATCAACCAATTGTACCAAATCACACATTTGTGCGGAGAGAAGCGAACAACGGGGCGATTGTTAAATCGCACAGTTGTGCAAACTATGTGTGGACGATGTGCGGACGGTGTGTGCACGATGTATGAACGCTATTTTTGGTGCGTTGTGCGGTCACACAACTGTAGCAGTTATATTTACCATTTTAAACGGAGAAATTAGATTCAGAAATTACTTCGTATTTTATTTGTTAATCAATTAAACGTCACCATGTAAATTGTTTCTTATCATCCCGTGTCCTGTTTCAGGCACAGCCATTTGTGCAGTTGAAGGAGAAGAACGATAACGGAAAACCTCTTCAGGAGTATGAAGGTTTTTGTGTTGATTTGCTGAAAGAAATAACTGCCACACAGTTCGTTAATTTTACATACAAGTTCGTAGTGCAGAAGGATGACGAATACGGGGTCAAGATTAACGGCAGCTGGACAGGAATGATAGGCGAGATCGTAAGACGTGTAGGTAGAATTTTGCTTTCAATAAAGAAAGTAACATATTATATTGATATTTATGTATGCAATTGTATGAAGATAAAGGGTAATTGAAATTGTACCCGGGGTTGTTGAATTCTGGCTGTATATATCTGTCCTAAATTCATATATATGATATAGATGTTCTAGAATTTCAAAAAAGTACGAGGAAAAGTGGTGTCTACCGAATGACTGTTTTTAACTTATGATAGTAATCAAAATCTTCATAGAAAGTTTGTTCAGTTCCTGTTTTTATCCATGACGCAATTTCACTCCCTGACTTTCTTTTGGCGATATATGGGTTCTTCTGCTAAACAAAATGACAAAACTACTTCGATAAATCTCAGGTCATAGGATGGCTTATGCCTAATGAGACAACCTCATATAACATTAATGCATATATTTTATGTAGCATCTTAGCAACAAGTGAAATAGTTGTTCAGGCTAACGAATTTGTCCCTTTACTTTATTTTTTCGGTTAAGAGTTTTGCAGACGATGATTCCCAAATTGATGTCTTCTCTATACCTATCAAAACATGTTGCACCGTGACCAAATTGCAGCATCTGAGTTCGTGTATACTCTTCTGCCATTCAATATATGTGTGTTTCAATCCTACTGGTTTACGAGTGCGTTATCATATGTCTGATTTGATGAAATTGAATTATGCAAAAATCATAGTATTTTACACTCTGACAATGATGGTGGTGGCAAATCCTAGTCTAACCGCTATTCATCTTTCATATGATGTAATTGAATTGCTTAAAGTCGCGATTGTTTTGAGATGTATGGACATAGTCATATTCCTGTCTCCATATAGCATCACAATCATTCTGATTTAATAATATTGGTATCTTAATATCCCTTCTGAGTATAAATTTGTATATTCAAAATAGAAAAGAAAAAGAAGAACAAAATGTATTATAGATTACAGCACCATAACTTTAAAACAAATAAAACCATGACACAAATATCAAGACAAATTCTTCGACAAAATAGTGATTCGTTCAATCTGTACATTCTTAACATTAAAACATCAGTCAAGCTACCGTGCAAGTCGTAAATAAACATGTTTGGTAGGAACATCACTAGTGGGCTGAGTGTTTGCTTTATATTAAATCATAGTGGTATATGGAGCGGACTGTCAAGAGTCACATGGACAAGAATATAATGGCGTCACAACCAAACTACAGTTTCTTTGGTGCATTTATTTTTACGAAGGACGCTATTTTCTTTTGTAGGTAAATGACAAGTCACAAGTTTCCGAAAGTCTATTTCGTTTGATTGCTATATTAATTTGTCTCTCTTGTTTGCCTGCACTTTCAATCATCAATCATTTGTTTAAAGGTGTTAGCCTTAGTGTAATTTTATCATTTATATCTAATCTGTTTGTTTAGCATGCTGACCTGGCCGTCGCCCCACTCACAATTACAAAGGAAAGAGAGGCGGATGTTGATTTTACAAAGCCGTTTATGAAAACAGGAATTTCTATAATGATAAAGCGCCCTGACAAACAGAAACCTGGGGTGTTTTCATTTAAGGAGCCATTGTCTAACATGGTGTGGCTGTGTATTACCGTCGGGTTCTTAGCGGTCAGTACCATATTGTTTCTCGTTGGTCGCTTTAGTCCATACGAATGGAAGGAAAACTCGACGACAGGGCCTTCAGATGATTTCAATATGCTCAATTCCCTGTGGTCCAATCTTGGAGCCCTGATGATGCAAGGGTCGGACATATTTCCAAGGTAAATGCTTGTGTCTAACATTAAAATTGGATTTGGCAGATAAATGTACCCGTACATACCCAAGAACACATTATTTCCTGTAAGAAATTTAACTTGTCAGTATTCAATAAACAAATCTTCAAATATACTTCGTGATTAATATGATCTAATAACTGAAGATGGTACTAAGTGCTAAGTTGCTAAACTAGTTTTGGTTTTGTTTTATTTGGGTTTAGTGTACTATAACAGCCAAGGTCATTTAAGGACGTACCTTCTTGTGTGTATGTGTGATGGAGGCAGTATGTTGGTGTATTTGCCAATTGGCCGAAAAACATTGTTGCGGGAATAAGAACGTGGTTTCTTTGGTTACACAATGTACTAGATCTGTCAAGCGGATAACGTTAATCGGAAATCATTCGGAAAATTCAGTTATAATTTGAACTTGACGTCGCGCCATGATAACTCAAACAGTTTGACTGAATGACCCGAACAGTTACCGATTGACAAAACTTTCACTCGTAATAGTTATTGTTTATATTGGACTTCGGTAGGTTCATCTCAGGACTGTACAAAAGAAACGTAAATAAAGAAATAACAATAAAGAAAGGCCAAATCCTATGAAGTCTGATCAATTTGTAATTAACTTTTTGAACTCATCGAAACAAAAGAACAAGAAAATGATTATAAAAGTTACTATCTATTGCTTACATTTTAAAAGTTGAAATTTAAAAAACAAAATGAGTTATTATTTCGAGAATGCAAGTCAAATTTCTGAATAAGTCTATTTTATGGTATCAATTACTTTTTTAAAACGTAGATTTTCGGAACAAATCAATCGTTTGTTCACGATTCGTGCGTTGCGCTGTCTAATTTCAACACCATTTAATAGTTTTGCCAATTATAACAAGTTATGTACGTACTATATATGGAAAAATATATTTCCTAGATGAATTACGATAACTGTTCCATGGCTATTGATGGTAAACAACAGAGAGTTCATCTACAAAATCGGATCTTAATCATTACAAGTACCAAGATGATTACTGACAACTGAGAGATATTCTTGCCGAATAAAACATGTAGCATAAGACATTACTTTAAAGCAGGATTGAATTACCAAACGCTTTATTCTATATTGGGTCGAATTTGAACAAAGGAGTTCAAAGTCATTCCGAAGGAAACTTGACTGGAGAGATAAATGCACGTTCTTAAAAATATTAGTGTATATCTGTTCTGATGGCTGAGATCAGCAATTCACAGTCTTACATTTTATGATCGATTACGTCGATTTCAAACAAATGTGTAAATATTCTATTATGTAACATCTGTGAAAGGTTTGCTTGAACCAGTTTCTGTGTCATTGATATATGATTATTAACATTAAAGAAATCTCTACCATAGTTATATCAATTATTTATTTTCTTTTTGCATATTTTTAACATTTGAACCGATTAGTTTCAGTTAATGTATTACTTTTTGTGAACGTCTATTCAATAGAGATAGTGATGATGGTCTGTAAAGCAATACATTAGCAAAATAACAAGAGCAGGTATCACAACATTCAAATCTGACGTATAGCAGGCCCGATAGCTAAGAGCATCCGGTTCTTCAACAACTCAAAAAGAGAAGATAACTTTAGTTGTTTGACTTTCTAGGTCTTTGTCTGGCCGAACGGCTGAGAGTGCCTGGTGGTTCTTCACATTAATTTTGATATCATCATACACTGCTAACCTAGCAGCATTCCTAACAGTGGAACAATTCTCCATCCCAATTAACTCTGTTGACGACCTTGCTGCCCAGACAAGCATCAAATATGGCGTCCTTGGCGGTGGTTCGACTATAACATTTTTCAAGGTAACTCTAACTTCATGTTTTTCATTGATATACTTGTTGCATAAAAAACGTTATGGTTGCAACTGATAGCAAAACGACGTCCCTATCATCACCGATTAGTTCTAGAAGGACGATGTACAAATGTAATTATTGTTGGCATACTGTATATATTAATTAATTTTAAAGGTGCAATCACTTGTATGTATCTGCGTTATTTTCATCTTTCATCCTCCAATGTTGATAACACTTATTTGGTTTGATCTGGTTTTTAAATGTTTTTGTCCGTTGCACAAGTATTACCTCGTGCTGAAGCTGAATGCCATGTTTAATGTCTCTCTGAATCTTCACGGGCGTCTTTCTATATGTACGGAACCTCATCTTTTTCTAGACTGTGAAAAAACTTGTTTGAATATCTCTACTTTGCATATTTCAGGAATCTAAAGTTATAGTTTATGAGAAAATGTGGAGATTCATGAAGTTTCAAAACCAATCAAGCGGACATATATTTATGGAATCAAACAAGGGCGGATGGGAAAAGGTTAAATCCTCAAAAGGAAAATATGCATTTTTGTTAGAAGAATCTTTCAATGAATACTTCAACAACCGAGATCCTTGCAGCACAATGAAAGTTGGTACTACTCTCAACAGTTTTGGATATGGCATTGCATTACCTCTTCATAGTAAAATAAGGTACATTTTTGCAAGTTCAAAAAGAGTTCTGTCTCGCTGCCACGAAGTAGCGGAAGCGAGACTAAGGTGTTGCTTTTCCGTTTATGTTAAGTTTTTGCGTTAAAGTTGATTCCACTGAAACTATAAGTGCTTGATCAACCAAACTTTGACCATAATCATCTTAGGTAGTACATGTCAACCTATGCATCTAATGCTGAATGCGGGCTACCTTTCATGGTCCATTGACTTTGTCAGTATCTCCATTAACATTACGGTTTTTCGTTTAAGTTAGTTTATTTCCGAAAACTGTAAGTGATAGACCAACCAAAGTTGACCAGTGCATTGATGGTCAGAGCGGGGGCACAGACGAGACATATCAATGCAAATGGCTTGTTTATTCTTAAATAAAATGACAAAAGGTGTTCACTCGTTTCACTGCGTAATTGCCCATAAAGATTTCAATCGAACTCGATCATTGTTGAATTTCCGTGGTAATTAATGATTCGTGTTTTCAAGAATTTTTCGTTAGCTTTCATGTTTCCTCAGTTCAGTTAGTGTTTCATTCTTAGCCTTCACGGATTTATTAGACTTGACATCCCTGTTCAAGTTATAACCGAGCCGAGGACAAATAAGATCTGGCAGAATCGTTTATATTGGTCTTATCTAATTGCCTATACCAAAAGATAATCAATACTGTATAGAATGCATCCTGTCAGAGGTCATAACTGGTCAAATTTTAATTGGACCAGGACGGAAAACATCCATTTTCGTCCGTTATGATCTCTTAGGGCAAATAGTTATGTCAAAGTTCCAACGACTCGTCTTCTTAAATTTAAATATAGTTGCCTTACTTTTCAGTAAAGGTGTCAATCTAGCAGTTTTACATCTACGAGAGATTGGTCATATAATTCGTCTACGTCAGAAGTGGTGGGTGGACCGTGGTCAGTGTGGAGGCGTCACGGGTGTGAGTATTGATATAGACCTAAGAACATTTACAAATAAAGGGGAGTGATACTTTTGTGCATGGACAATGACACATAAGGATAAATAATACAGTAGATACATAGGCATTAAGGAGTATAACTTAACTGATCAATGATACATACGTGGCACCTAGTGCCTTACTTCCATAGCCTTCTGCTAAGTGGGAGCAACACTCTGAATCCGTCTGTCTGTATTTTATTTTCTCTCTTGCGTACTTTTTTCAGCAATGTCTCCCTAGGCATATGCCTTGATATAACATTGACGTTGCAACGACGTTAATCCGTGAACAAACGAAAATGGTAGCAATAATAATTGACTGTGTGGGTATATTGTGCTAGAGCTTCCTAACGTTGACCCCGGGGGTTACTGGTGTCATTAAACCTTCACATTTATGGATAGGGATTTGATTTGATTTGTTAAAGGTTAAACGTTCAGTTTACAGCTAGGGTCACAAGGAAAAAGACAGAACAGACAGGAGATGAAAGAAAAGGCAGAAATCCAAAGTGGTTCAATATGGGTAGCGAATCAATATTAGGGTGTTCGAGTGGCGCAGTGGATATTGCACTCGTCTTTCACCAAAACAGTCAGATTTCGATTCCACGATCGGACATTCAAGGGTATGGGGACACCTGCTCAACTGCGTGGGTTTTCTGTGATTACTTCGGTTCCTCATGTTGAGCCATTAATTATATTACATGTCCGATATAAGTCATAAATATAAGCAGAACACAATTCAGAATTCTTGATAAGGACTCGTACCATCATATTAGTCACGTTGACAGGTCTGTGTTCCTGCGAACGGTTGGATAAGGGGTAAATAATGTTATTGTACATTAATATCAACCAGAAAAAAGGTTTATACTGCTACGCTCATATTGACACATAGGGTTGAGTAGTAATACATTTTTGTTTGGGGTGGGGATAACGTCTTCGTCAAGGAACTATAAAGCGGGGTGCTTAGGTATACAACGTAAAATAGAACGAATACGTAAAAGATAAACGAAGAGACAAAGATCCGAAGTGTTCCAATGAAATTGTTTTTTGGATTCCCCAGTATCTCCTAAGCAGAAGACAAGGAATCGTAAATAAAAATACCGATTTTGCAGGAGGTCCATATAAGTCTGTAAAACTGTACGCATAAAAAATATTTATGCAGTTTTCTTGGATAGTATGAGTATTTCCAAAATGTACTGCAAATGTATACATTAACTTCATATATAAAAATTGTTGATTGTTATGGTCTATAATGCTTGAAACCTTTTGTATGTTTTAGAGTAAAGGAAAGAAGTCGTTATCTCTGAGTAATGTATCGGGGATTTTCCACATCCTTATAGGAGGACTTGTGCTCGCCATGCTTGTGTCCATAGTCGAATATGCAATGCATGTAAATTGTAAACGACGAAAAAAGTACAAGGTGGGTTAATGTTTCTTTAAGATTTTATTTGACAAAAAATAATGCTATAATCGTTTTTGAAAACATGTCGAGGAATAAGATTATTAACGTTGAATTTTTGCTTCATTAATATCAATATACTTCCTTCCAGATACAGAAAAAGAAAGAGAAAGCATTGAAAAAAGAGGCTGTCCCTAATAAAGGAGAACTCCAACCATTGAGGACCAATGGAAGCGATGGGGCCCTGGATATTAAAGGTTTATGTTACACACAAGAGGTATCATTGTTTTTCGACAATACCTTTCTTCTTTCTTTAATAGTTATAGTTTATCATATCCTTTCCTTATCAGCTTTCATCTCTTTCTTGTTCGTTTTATAGTGTACATGCTATTTTATATCAATCATATCAAATTACCGAATTTCAAGATGGTTGCTGTAGCTTCTGATTGTTCAAAACATTTCATTGTGATGTTAGTTGATTGGCTGGAGGTTTGTATTGTGAAAAAAGTCTGTCGATCCTTTTTGTGCTTTGAATACAATATTTCACATATGTTTTCACCTTCTTCAGCAGTTAGCACGAATCCATTGTCATAACGGTAATATTTACGAACGGATATTGAGCATCGGTGAATATGAATGTGTGCACAAAAAAGTGCTGTAATGTCAGTTTAAGATTTTTCTGTAGATTGCTTTAATAATATGTAAGTTGATACAGGAATACTTATTAAATGCTCTAAAGAAAATTCTTGAAATTTTATAAATGGATTTTTCTCTCTCTCTTGTATTGGTATTGCTCTTTGAGTACTTAACATTTCTCCTTGAGATATATTACTCTCAGAACGGCTGAATTGATAAAACACAAATCTGTGTTTGTCGTTTCCAACATAATGCTTCAGATCATGTCACGTACAGACAATTGTAGACACGTAATGAATAATACTCTATCATTAACACTAATCCTCGTGACTACAATAATTATCAAGGTCTGTCTCTTGCAGTATCAAACCTCGCCGGCAAACCTAATCACGTTTGAAGGAATTACGGAGAATGGACAGACACAATTATGATACCCCTTTATCATACATCGATCTGGATAGTTTACCGAGACCTCCCACGGGACTGTTGCCTCAACTTACAGTGTTTCTCATATTTGTAGTGTTACGACAAGACACACAGATAGATACATATATTGCAAGAGTTATTTGAGCCAATGTCCTTGATTTCTTTCCAATCATTATGTTATTCTAGTGCGAGGAATTTTGTGCAAAACGGAATGTGCTTATTTATTTCAATATAAAAACTTGTATTAGCGATCTTTAAATACAAAATACAAATTACAAAACGTTGTTCACAGGCTCGGGTTGGGCAATGTGACGTGTGTACAACTGTTTTTTAGACTATTGTAAACATAATTATTTAATGTGTAAAGGAAATTTAGAGTGTATATCTGTTTCATAAAAACAATGTCCCTATCTCTGTTCACATATTTGCACAGGTAGTATAACACTTATCAAGCAAGCTTAGTATTTTACATGATGTTACGTGGTTGCAAGTATTAAAAGAGCTTGCCCTTCTCAATGAATATATAACTGTTGTCCCGTTTGCAAATAGACATTTTCGAACAAATTGTTATATCAGAACAATCCATGTGAAAAAACATATTTTCGATTTAATGATTAATGGTACTGATTTATTTATGATTTTACATGACAACTGTGTGTTTGATTACCTTTGATTCGAGTATTTGTAATTAAATTTTACACACAGCTGAAATGTTTGATATTCGCTACAATTTGCATTGCAATACACAAGAAGGATATATTTCTAAATGATTTACAAAAATGTAAAGCTAAGAGTCGTTTTTTTTGTATCCCAACAAGAATAAAGAGAAAAGAGTTTTTGACACATTGCAAATATGACAAACACTGTTCATTTATAAGCTGGTTCTTGTGATGTCGTGGACTAATGCGATATCGTCTAGACGGCAGGCATCATCCAGAAAACTACATAATCATCCTTTACCCTACAAAAGATGGCTGTGATTAATATATATATATAACTGATGCACGTTCACATCTGTAATATACATTGTCTCCGAAAACTCATACATATTTCATGAACATTGTATATATTTCATAACGTGACACGTGTATTAACTTTGAGTGCCTTTTGCACTCTACTCTTTACTTGTTGGGTTAAATAATATATAAGAACGGTTTTAATCAAGTCATTATCAGTATGTTTTGCCAGAAATAATGCTTTTTAGTTTGATGTACAATGGTCAATGAACCAGCGATATTTCTAAAATACTTAACAAAAACATGAATATTTCATTAAACATCTGTCCTGCAGCTGAAATATTGATATATGGTAATCATTCGTTTTGTCTGCGGCAAAATATTTCATAAGATTATAATCATGTGTAAATTATATGTATGTTGAAACAATCTATGTTGTAATTTGTTGTGTGAATTTAATCCATTTAGACACTGAGAGGTATAAGCAGTTTCAAATTAATTGTTATCAATCAGCACCTAAAGATATATTTTACAATCACAAATTCTTTATTTTACAATTACTTAAATATTAAGTAAATCTTATGTATAAAGCTATATAAAATGTTGCGTAACGCTTGAACTTAATGTACACGATATGCATCATGGGAAAGGTTGACATGATGAAAATTATGACGGATATATTTCAATTCTAAATATCACAATTTACAATGTTCTGCGTGAACTCTATCGTTTTCTTGTAAAGATCTTTTCATCTATATGTCAATGATGAACCAACGTTTATATTGAATACATATATAGAAATTTTGTCTGACCCGTTACGTGTTTACACTGTATATAATTTATATTTGCGTTAAGGAACCAACTGCCACTTCAAACAAAATACTAGAGACATCAAATACATACTATAACCTTCCATTAAATTCGTTTGATATATACCCTGTAGTACGACTGGATCAGGTTGCATTATATACTACGTTGACAACCCAGCACAGTTTGTTAGAACGACAGTATAATGAACAGTGTCCATACTCGAATTCTGGTCGTAGACCCATGGCGTTTTTAAACTTGATAGTTTTATTTTTTTTTTTTTTAAATCAAGAAGTGTTGCAAGGTGTAGTGTTTTTTTCATAGCTATTGTTTTACTGAACTGTCATTTTCATAATTCAGTATTTAACAGTGGAACGGGAATCCTTAAATCGCGAAAGACAATCGCGAATTCAAATGTCTCGAAAATATAAATCCTGATTCAAATGGGTCAGAAGCATACAGCTGAATTTGATCCTTTGCCGTCTTAAAATTGCATGCGAACAAACTCTCTTATTTGAAAATAAAAGACACGAGTAAGGTAAGGAACGGATACGAAGTAACTTACCCACCCACATTATAATTTTAAGTACTATTTGTAATTATCAAGATATATTACGGTAATGTATTGCATTGAAACATTTGTATACAAACACACTGTTTCTGCATGTATTACTGGTTAATGTACAAGCTGTTTGTTGGGAAGTCATTAAGAAGGAGTGTTCTCATAATACGTCTTAAAACACAAATCTTCCGTTCTTGATATAGATATCTTCTCTCCACACTTGGGATATAATTTTGACAAAAAAAATGAATGCACTATACGCCCCATCTTACAAACGATAGGAGTAAACTTTCCTGGATTTGTAGGGAATTTGGAAACCTGTGATCTCTTTTATGCATAGTATGCGGAATCGCAGCATTGCGAAAATATTGACCGGCTAGTAATTTCCAAAGGAAAGTTATCAAACAACTTATTGTGAAAAAGATTTCTAAACATTCAGAGAAGATACTTATATCGAGAGTTAAAAACCTTGGATTTGAAAGATGAACAAAAGAATATTAACGCGATATTTAACATAGCCACGATTTTAAACTTGACGTTTACACCGACATTGGTAGATGAAGTAATCGCAGAAAAAGTAATTTTGCAACTAAGCAATGCCAAACTTTAAATAAAAACTATACGAACCGTGCCTGGAGATCGAGTTTCTCCAGATGTTTTTTCCAGATATTTTGCAATTCAAAAGCACAAGAAATATGTTATGAAGTAAGCATTGTTACTTTCCTCAGTTTGTTGGATGCTGCAACCTAACCTGTGTTAACATGTGTCAATTAGTATGCCAATCAGATTGCTAACCAACGAATACGAAAAATAATCCCTCGAATTGAAAGTGATTAATAACGTGTCATAATTCATTTGTCTATCAAGGTTTTTCTTTAAAAGTCAACAGTAGCGATGATAAAAGAATAGTTCTCGCAGAAATACCCGCCTTTGAAATCAAGTGGACACGGGATCAGTTAACAAACGATATAGCAAAATATTGTTCGTAAACTAACTGATTTGTTTAAAAGTAGTAGGACTGCATTATCAACATTATCAACACGTTTAATATTTTAGTAGTTCATAACTTTGTAATAAGAACGATTTTGGTATCATGTTAAAAGATCGGAATAGATCAAGAAGAGTTACACAACAAAATGCAATTTATGTTTCTTATTCCAGGCTACGATGTTTATATTTTCAGTTTTAATTTTAATTTACTCGTCTATGTATACACTTTGAAGTTAACAGGTAGTATTATTAAGACAATACATTCTAAGATACATGAAGGTTGAAAATATATGTCACTCATTATCTCCATAGCTTCATCATCTCACCATATCACGATTTCTTGAATATTTGTCTTTTTTATAAAATACTAAACATGAATGTAAAATATGATTGTTGGAAATTTAATAAAATGAATGTTATTTAAAAAAGTGTGTATTTGGTTTTGCCTATGACGTAGCTTCAGGATAAATAAATACGACCAATGAAAATGACCCAGGTCACGACATCGCTTCAGTTTCATCCGTCACTGACAAATATTAATTGTATAAGTGGTAACTGTCGCGTTATACATATTTTGAAAAAGGTCTATTTAGTCAATTGACAACCTGAAAACCAAGTCGACTGAAAATATACAGTATATATCCCAAGAAAACTTTACGTAGTTGATCATTACATGACCTGAAGTCAACGTCCAGTGTGGTCACCTTTTCTTTTGGGAAAGCCGATGATAAAATTGTTTCGAACGAAATAGCGCAATATCCGGGCCTTTTAGTGAGAAGGTAATATGTACAGTACCAAGCTGTCGACCGAAAACTTGTCAGTTATTAGTCTAAGTTCAAACATAACACATTCCTGTCGCTTTGAGCATACACAATACATTGCAAGCAAGAATAATAAGTTTCATAATATGTACATCACATCAGATTTTCTGTTCAAAGTTGGATTTGATAATTACAAACATGTTTAATTGGAGTATGTACGCTCAGGAGGGTACCGCAGGGAGAATGTCAAACCGCACAATGTACGATATCAATAGGTTAAAACGTACAATAGATGAACCTTAAAAATTAACCTTCTCTCCTCGGTTGGAAATACACGTTTGTTAATTAGAAAGTTACCAAAAGCTGCCGCTAAAACGTATGGTTGTACAGTTTAAAAAGGTCAAGAAAACATTGTCTCTTGTGAATTGCTCGATATGAATTGTCATCATGAAGTATTTGTTGACAAGATTATAAAAACAATTATTTTACTTAATTGTCCCTTTAGGTATTTACATCACGGGGATATTTGCGAGGGGTGACATCAGAGGTCCGCGCGGAAGATCTAAATGCGTGAGGAAACCGGAGTACCCTGAAAAACCCACAAAGTTGGGCAGATAATCTAACCCGGCCAAATAGGTGAAAAGCGAATGCGTTATCAACTGCGCCACCTGACCTCCCATACATTGATAACAACCGTAACAGATTTACTAATGTGAATAATGAATAATTGAATGAACACTCAACTGCACCTGCAAATACAAATATTTGTAAATGCCTTTGAAAGTTGAAAAGATATCAAATAAAGAAAATATACGTGATTTTCAAGGGAGGAAACGAAACTCCCAAATTAAATTTATGTTTTACCTCGATACCCATATTTGCCTTTATGTGATGGCGCGAATGTTATGCCTTATGGTTTGGTTTTGGTTTTATTTTGTTTAACGTCCTGTTAACATTAACTGATATCATTTAAAGACGTGCCTCGATGTGTGTTGTGTAAACGTGCATATGCCGGAGATATGGTATGTTGGTGTTATTTCTTCCTGTGATAGCGCGGATCTGACGCTGACTTTAAAGTGCTATCTCACTGAAATACTATTCCGAAGGCACCCAGCGCAGCAGCATTCCGCCCGGTCACTTTATACTGACAACGTGTGAACCAGTTGCAGGGAATAACAGTTACCATTTTTAAGGTGTTTGGTATGTCCGGCAGGGGGACAGAATCCATTGCCTTCCTCACTTGGGCGAACGCTCAACATTAAAAGCCAAAAGCCAAACTATTGCCCAGCAAAGAGGAAGGAGATGAAAGGTAGCTAGAAGTAGAAAGAAAGATAAAGATCCCAAATGTTGCAATGGGTGCAGCAGATTTATTTTGGTCGCGTTTGTGTCCCCACGTAGAAGGCACAAAAGCAAATCCCAAATTTTGCAGGGGGTTCCCCATAATAGTCCTACGATACATGCAGTGGGTAACAGCAGGTGTATTATTTTCTCGATCCCGTACCTGCAGGATAAGGCTACCAGATCCGACCCATTCATCGATCAATGATAAAAACGAATGTCATTAATAAAAGCAGTTTTTGCTATAAAACATTATGCAATTTTCCCTAAAGAAAACAAATATGATGACCTACACGCAATATTCTCATAAACTAGTAATATACTTAAGTGACAACTACGTGTCAACACAGCCAGACACCCTGGGGAAAATACATAGCTGACATCAACACTCGAGAATATGAAAAAGTACCGACGTGAGCATAAATATTCTTAACGCCCTTGACCCCAGGGAAAGTACCAACAGTTACCATTGGTTAGCATAACACCATAACCAAGATAAATCAATTAAAATCAGAGCCACAATACTACAATATAATTCTCAGCATGACATTTAAGAAACACAAGCTAAAGCTAAATGCATTACATCATTGCGAGAACTGCTACAGAGTCACACAGTGGTTTGAGAATCTACTTAAATTGTAGAAATCGTTAAAATGAATTGTTTGAACAGCACAAATTCACGTATCTGATTTATAAAAAAGTTGTAACATTGATAAATAGCTGGCTTGATAACCAATTCGTCTCTGTATCAAATGGTTTCATTAAAGCTGAAACATTAATCACGCCTCCCTGACTATGATTTAACACGGACCGATGGTGATTCATTTCATGTAAACAGCTTCCATTATAAAAAAGAGTGAGAATTTTTAATCTTTACCAATCAAGCTGATACACAATCCTTATTGTATTTTGAAACGGTCGATAAAGCACATCCTATTACATAGAACGATAATGATTGCAACTCCGGGACGTACTTAAATAGAAATTGTTCGTACAAAGTACCACATGCGAAAGCATATTCATTATCTTTAATTTAAGAAAAAAAGAAACAGAAATAACTAATATTTGCCATCACTGATACACAATTGAGAATGTGTTCACTGTGGTTAAATTAATAGGGAAATTATCAATGCAATTTTTAATTCAATATTGAATTTCATTTACAGTCGAACCTCGTTATCTCGAAGTCGACGGGATCGTTGGGAAACTTCGAGTTATCCGAGTATTCGATTTAAGCGAGTTCCTATGTTTGGCATAAAGTTTGGTAAAGTTCCAATATGAGGCTATATATGTCATTGATTTCTCTGA